TGGCCGATTCAAAGCCGCCCTCGGCCACTGGTGTTCTGTCGGTGCCAGGATCCCAGGTCGGTGGCCGACCCAAAGCCACCCTCGGCCACTGGCGTCCTGCCGGTGCCACGATATCATCTCGGTGGCCGACCCAAAGCCGCCATCGGCCACTGGGGTCCTGCTGGTGCCAGGATCTCAGGTCGGTGGCCGACCCAAAGCCGCCCTCGGCCACTGGTGTTCTGCCGGTGCCAGGATCCCAGGTCGGTGGCCGACCCAAAGCCACCCTCGGCCACTGGCGTCCTGCCGGTGCCACGATATCATCTCGGTGGCCGACCCAAAGCCGCCATCGGCCATTGGGGTCCTGCTGGTGCCAGGATTTCAGGTAGGTGGCCGACCCAAATCCGCCCTCGGCCACTGGTGTTTTGCCAGTGCCACGATATCATCTCGGTGGCCGACCCAAATCCGCCCTCGGCCACTGGTGTTTTGCCAGTGCCATCGATATCATCTCGGTGGCCGACCCAAAACCGCCCTCGGCCACTGGTGTTTTGCCAGTGCCATCGATATCATCTCGGTGGCCGACCCAAATCCGCCCTCGGCCACTGGTGTTTTGCCAGTGCCATCGATATCATCTCGGTGGCCGACCCAAATCCGCCCTCGGCCACTGGTGTTCTGCCGGTGCCACGGTATCATCTCGGTGGCCGACCCAAAACCGCCCTCGGCCACTGGTGTTTTGCCAGTGCCATCGATATCATCTCGGTGGCCGACCCAAATCCACCCTCGGCCACTGGTGTTCTGCCGGTGCCACGATTTCAGGTTGGTGGCCGACCCAAATCCGCCTTCGGCCACTGGTGTTCTGCCAATGCCACCATGCCAGCTCGGTGGCCGACCCAATACCGCCCTTGGCCCTTAGTCTTCTGCCGGTGCCCGGCCATTGGTGCCCAGCCGATGCCTGAGCCAGGGGTGCTCGGCCATGGGGCCCGGCCCTCCCAAAGCCCGGGCAGGTGGGCCTTTCTTATGCCGAGGGACCATAACGAGGTCGGCACCGACCTCTTTGGCCGGGCAATGGCCGATGAAAAATGGCTCGGCCATGGGGATATGGCCATCCTTCGGCCGAGCTCCCCGTGCTACTTGGGAACTGGTCCCAGTTAGAAATTTTCGCCTGGGTTGCCTTCCGGCAGCAAGTAACCGACGAGCTGAAGCGTCTCAATGCTGCTGACATCATCGAAAGAATCAGTGCATCTGAATGGGTTTCCCCAGTCGTCGTAGTCCGCAAGAAAGACGGCAGCATCCGTCTTTGCGTCGACCTCAGAGAACCCAACAAGGCAGTAGTCGTTGACAACTTTCCCTTACCGCATACGGAAGAACTGCTGCACGCCCTCAGTGGAGCCCGCCACTTCTCCAAGCTGGACCTGGCAGCTGCATATCGCCAAGTCCTGCTTCACCCAGACAGTAGAGACCTCACGGCATTTATAACCCATGAGAGGCTCATCCGTTTTAAGAGGATCTGCTTTGGACTTGCATCGGCACCAGCTGCGTTCCAGCAGCTGATGATAAGGATTCTGCATGGCTGCAGTGGCGTCTTCTGCTACATAGACGATATTATCGTCTTAGGAAAGACTCTGCAAGAGCACACCGAGAACCTCCGCGCAGTTCTTCATCGGATCTCCAAGGCCGAACTCAAGCTCAATGAGAAGTGCGTTTTCAACGCATCTGAGCTCTCGTTTCTCGGACATCGTGCCAGCGCTGAAGGCATAGCACCCCTTAAGGCCAAGATCAACGCGATCGCCCATGCAGCCGTTCCATCTGAGCCTAGCATGCTGCGCTCTTGGGCCTCGTTGACTATTACGCCAGGTTCGTCCCCAGGTTGGCCGAGGAGGTAGAGCCGATGCGCCGACTACTGCGGAAAGGTGTTTCTTTTGTCTGGGATGCCGCAGCGGACGCTAGCTTCGCCAGGGTGAAGAGACTCCTTGCCTCGCAACAAGTACTGAGCATGTTCAACCCAGCGCTCCCTGTCATCGTTGCCACAGACGCTTCTGCATATGGTCTGGGTGCCGTCCTGCAGCAGGTCGACGGGCCTCGTACTCGCACTATTCCCTTCGCGTCGCAGACTTTGACCGCAGCCGAGCGGAAGTACTCAGCTGGTGAGCGAGGGGCCTTGGCTTGTTTGTGGGCCTGTGAGAGGTGGCACACATACTTGTGGGGCGGCCCTTCACTCTTCTTACGGATCACCAAGCCTTAGTGGCCATGCTGCCTGCACAAAGCACGGGACAGCGTCCTCTTCGCATCGCACGGTGGACAGCACGGTTGCTCTGCTACAACTTCAAGGTCGAGTACCGTCGCGGCTCCGACAACAAAGTGGCAGATGTCCTGTCTCGACTACCTGCGCCAGGCACCGAAGGCGAAGAGCAGCCCAAAGAGGTCGTGGCCCTGGTAACATCAGTTGTACATCGGGAAGACCTACAACGCGACACAGAGGAAAATGGCGCGTCACAAAACGTCATGCAGTGTGTCCAGACGGCATGGCCTGCTCGGAAGAACTTGACTGCAGACCTGGTCCCATACTATGAGGTCCGCAGCGAGCTGTCGGTGGTCGACGGTCTCCTTCTGCGCTCAAAACGCTTCGTAAATCTGGCCAAGCTAACGGCGACGTTCGTCCAGAACGCGCACGAGTCCCACCCTGGTATTGTAAAGAAAAAGAGGCGTTTTCGAGTGAAGCTCTGGTGGCCTGGATTAGACAAGCAAGTCGAAGGCACCATTCGCAGCTGTACAGTCTGCCAGTCTGCTGACAAGAGTGTCAAGACAGCGCCAACACCGCTCCAGCCAGTGCCACTGTCCGAAAGACCTTGGAGCAAAGTTGTAATCGACATCGTAGGCCCCTTCGAGCAAGCACCAGCGAACTGCCGGTTTGCCATCTCAGTTGTGGGCTATGACTCAAAGTGGCCGGAGGTCGCCTTCTGCAGCGACATCACATCGCAGGCAGTCACGAATTTCCTGTCCGTTTTCGCACGAGAAGGTTACCCGACAGAGATAGTCTCCGACTACGGGCGACAATTCACATCAAGAGAGTTTGAGACGTTCCTCGAAGCAAGAGGAATAAAGCACTCGTTCTCGGCAGTCCGCCACCCCCAGGCAAACGGCCTGGTGGAGAGGTTCAACCGGGTGCTAAAGTCGTATATTCAGTTAGCGCTGCTGGAACACCGTCCTCTTAAGCCAACCGTCATCGAGTATCTGGGAATCTACAGGGCTGCACCACACTCCACCACCGGGTTGGCTCCTGCTGTGCTGCTCCAAGGACGCCCCATGAGGAAAGCACTTGACGTCGTTGGCCTTCCGACTGCTGAGCTCCACACCAACCCTGCCCGGGAGATGCGTGGCCTTCGCAAGAGGGTGAGAGACCAACAAGCCAAGAGTAAGGCTTATGCCGACCGACGTCGAGCTGCTAAGGCCCCGAGTTTCCAGGTGGGTCACTATGTGAGAGTGCGAAGACAAGTTCATGGCCCAAAGGGTACCTCCACTTTCGGACCACCGTTCAAGGTCCTCAAGCGCGTTGAGCGTTGGTCGTTTTGCCTAGAAGATGGACGTACGTGGAATGGATCGAACTTATCGGCAGTGACCAGGTAGTCATGGCCGAACCAAGACTCTTTGCAGAGTTCTCCTTAGTATGACAACACCGAGTTGCCTGGGACGTCTAGGCCGACTCCCACCACATTACCAGAGGGCACACCTCCTCAGTCACCGGTCAGTGGCGCCACCGGTGGAGCAAAGTTCACCGTTGCATGGCCAGGAAGGTGACGGAGAGCCCGTACTTGTTTACAAAATCCTTCGCGTCCTTCCGACCTTCCGCGCCAGGGAGACCTCCTCTTTGTTGAACGATTGAACGAACGGCGTGTCAGGCGCGTCAGGATACCGTAGGCGCCGGCGAAGATTGTGAGTCACCCTTGGGAGATTCTTTTGTTGGACCCGGCGTCAGCGGCGATGATGCTTCGTTTCATCTTCTGTTAAACCAAAACTTTTTTTTTTCTTCAGTAATGTAGCACTGCAACGAGAGGTGCAGTCTTCCGGATTATCTCATCGTCGTGGCTCGAGGCTTGATCCCTTGAAGGTCAGGTGCACTCGCTCAGCGTACGCTTCTCAAGTCGTGAAAATAAAGAGGGGCCGATCATGACACTCTCAACTTGCCGAAGAAAAAAAGAAAAAAAAAGGAGGAGAGTTTTTTTTTGTAAAAGACCCTCTAGCCGAGGCAAACCTCACATGTTTCGTCATGAACACCGAAGATGCGGACACTCGCTTACCCTGGCCGAATTTCAGGCCCTTCTTTGTGTTTGTTTCTGAGACAGAAACCTCTGTTCAAGCGAAATGCAAACTATGTCTTCCGAAAACCAAGGTCCTGGCTGCATGCAAGAAGTCGAATTCCAACCTCAGGAAACATATGAAGGTGAGCTATATTTCTTTATTTTCATCATTCTTGCCCAGCTCGCTTGCACCTTTGCATTGAATTACATTATATTATATTTCTACTTCGTTCTCAGCTATGTGTGAAAATCTGATTTTACGGCAACAGACGAACGCTGTGACTAGTGCTTGTGATTGGCGCTACAATAGAATATGAAGTTAATTTCACGCCTGCACCTTTTGACCGCTGCTTAAATTATTTTACCTTAGAGCTTGAAACCTGCAAGCAGCTCTTACGGTCGGGCTATGATCGTAGTTACAATTCGCCAGATAATGAAAATTTTTGTGCTGCCTAACTTCTTTAGCTAATGAACATAAACGTAAAGTTATATTTTGTCTGATTATTGGGAGCGCTTCACTTGACACAATGTCATAAATTGCAGTCGCTGCACCCTGCCCAACTCTCGAAGCTGGACAGCGGCATTCGCAAACAAACGGCATGCCATGACTCTGGATCGAGGCCTGAAGCAGAAAGGGAGGCCAAGCAGCTGAAACTGGATGCCTTTCGTTCCGGAGTTTTAACCCAGAAATTATACGAGGAGGTCGTCGAAAACTTTGTAAACGGGGCGATGCAGCCTTTTTCCGTCGTCGAACACGAAGACTTCCTCAACATGGTGACACGGCTTGCGCCGACCAAGACTCCATTGACGAGACGTGCGCTCATGGAACGCATTGCTGCCCGCTCTTACAAGACCAAGCAGCGGTTACTGGACGAGTTGGGGAGAGCTGAGCACATCGCAATCACGACCGATTGCTGGAAAAGTTTCAACCGGTAGGTGCTGTTTTATACCATTTGAGCGCGAAAAGATATGATTTAAAACAAGGCTGCCCTTGTATTATTAAATTTTAGAAAAAAAGAAACAGAAGAAGAAAAAGACATTTCTAGAATCGGGCGAACAGTTTACATTGCTTTTTCTCGGTGGAGCTTCTATATTCAAAGGAGAAGTGATAAAACGCAACGTTTAAAATGAACACAATAAAAGTTTAGCAGCGCTCAGCGTATTAAACAGTTTACTACACCTCAGTGTACACGTGGATGGTCAGTGACCGAGTGTTTTAACAAACTGCAGCTCGAAGCACGTGGATCGATATTTCGCGCGGCATATGTGATTAATAGAGCTTCACCGGAAATAGAAAACAACGATGGGTTGTAAGGCCGTGCAGGCCCGTAGGTCACCGTTGGCGGGCGGCATATCTCGGGGATCCTGAGTTTATAACCTCCCCTCTGCCCGTTACGATGACGAACTAGATGAGCTTCGCACTGGCATGTGTTCTTTTAATCACTACAAGGTAGTCCAAATGACAGACCGCAGGCTACTAGGCGTGCTTCACTGACGTAACGCTGTCTTAACTTTCATACAACAAATTTGGCTTTTTTTTGGCGCCTATCAAGAAGTATTGTGACCTGATGAAGCATCCCACTGAACGGTGCGGTTGGCACTCAAAATATGATTTTACTCTTTTCAACTTTGAACGAACGCAAGGGCAAGAGAAGGAAATATATTGTCACTAAACTTCATCCCGCCGGCTGTTTTCTGTAATTATATATGCTGAAGTACGGCGGGTGGAACGAAGTATAAACTCGTCGCGTAGTAGAAGAGGCTCCGGAACGTGTTTTTGTCTATCGAAACGTCACAATTTGTGTAAGTTCTTACAAAAAAAAAAAAGAACGCGCGAAGTATACATCTGCAGGTGTCAGTATTTTATACTTTTTCTGGTTTTTCTTTCTACTGATGTTTAGTGCGTTCCTCGGGGTCACCGCCTTGTGGCTCGATTCGTTGACACTGGAGAGAAAGACGGCGGCACTGTGTTGCAGAAGAGAAAGAGGCAGCATGACGTATAAAAAGATTGCCGAGGAGCTAGAGGAAGTGTTTCTAGATTACAAGGTGCACAGCAAAGTGGTCAAGGTGATCACGGATAATGGCTCGAATTTCCTCAAGGCATTCCGGTACAGTACTTTTTAATTGTATAGTTTAATTGTATGTGCTATACTGATTACGGACTGAAAGTTTGCATCTTTTTATAGAGTTTATGGTCAACATGACGAAGAGAGTGAGGAGTTAGACATAGTGGATTTGGCGTCAGTTCTGGAGAATGGTCAGCCGTTTCGTTTCCCTCCACATCAAAGGTGCGCTGCGCACACGCTGAACCTTGTAGCAAGTGTCGACGCCCAAAGAGCCGACCACGACAAGGACTATCGAACCTTAAGCCAGTCGGTCTTCGGCAAGTGCCAGAGCCTCTGGACCAAGCAAAACCAATCAACGTTGGCCGCAGATGAAATTCATGACCTCTGCGGAAGGTGAGTGTTCACCAAATCGCCCTGGGAACAAATCCTAGGATGTTTCTTTTTTTTGTTTTTTATGAGAGTCCCAGTTTTTATAAACAGATGTGAAAGCTACACTTTTGAGTTCTGGGCTGGTAAATTATGCGGCCGGGGGGACATAATATGGTCGAATTGTTACTCTAAGTCATATAATTTTCGAAAATATGGTAATTCAACTTTAGATTAGTAAAAGAGATTAAAAAAATCTAAAATAGTGAACTTGAAAAAGAAAAAAACACGTCCGAGTGTGTGGGGAGCAGAGCGGTGCGCTAAAACTAGCACTCGTTGAATTTGGATGCATTCTCGGAGCGCAGCACCATATTTTTCTTCAGTTCACCAACTGAGTTTTTCATCACGCTCAGCAAGTTTCTGAATATGTTTATTTTCCATATCCCCCCCCCCCCCCATAATATGTCTCACAAGCAGTATAATTCACCTACACAGACAACATTAGTGTAACTTTCATGGCTTCATAAGAAAAATCTGAACCGTCTAAAAAAACACCTGTATACTCGAATGAGCGTTTTTCTTATTTAACGCTGCTGAACCAATTAAATGACGCAGGTATCTTGTTGTGCCCAACGCCACGCGTTGGAATTCACGGTACGACGCGATGCGATGCCTGCAAGGTATATTAGAGGAGAAGCCGCAAAAACTGGAGGAGCTGTGCCTGCGGCTGAAACTTCCGATCCTTCGTCGCCTAATAGAAGCAGATTTCATAAACGAGTACTGCGAGGTATGTTTATTGTCAGTACTTTTTCTAAATGTACCGTAACAAATGTGATATGTCGTTCTGGCTAGGTGATGAAGCCGATTGCCAACGCGCTGGACATACTGCAAGCGGATGACAAGATGTATCTTGGGTACCTGCTGCCCACAATAACTGCAACAAGACGCAGACTAGCGGCGCTATCCGGCCTCCAGTATTGTAGGCCGCTAAAAAGCGCAATTACCGACGGCATTGAAAAAAGGTAAACCGGTGATCCTTCTATAGTGGCTCTAGAAGTTAGGCGATTTTCATTATTTTGGCCCGACGAGCATGTTAAATATTTTGTCCTCTTTACAGGTTCGCGGGTGCCATGGACGACACCGCTCTGGTGATAAGCGCTGCCCTCATCCCGCGCTTTAAGCTGCAGTGGGTACCGGAAGCTGACCGTGACAGAGTGATCCAGTTGCTGAAGACTGAGGTCTCTCGCCTGCCACGGCGGGAACACCACGTAACTTCAGACCCCCCAGCGACAGGAGAGCCTGAAGATTTCTTCAGCTTCAACGAGGAAGGCCACTGCAGGCGGGATTCAGAAGCCCAGGACGTCATGCTTTACTTGCAGTAAGACGATAGAGATGTGAAGGACGTCCTGAAGTACACGACCCTGCACAGCCTGTTTCTGAAATTCAACGCTGCCGTTCCATCCAGTGCGTCGGTGGAACGTCTTTTTAGCTTGGCTGGGGACGTCTTTAGGAGGAAAAGGGGAAAACTCTCCGATAAGAACTTCGAAGTTCAATTGCATCTGCGAGCGAATAAACTATTTTGATGAAAACGAAAACCATAAAATGACTGCATTTATTTTAGGCTGGCAGGGTTTTTCAGGGATCAAAACTGCTGTTCATTGTGCAACCACAAAAATATAAAAAGTAACTTCGAAAGTAACTTCAAAGTAACTCGCTACTTTTTGCAGTAGTTAGTAGTTTACTCAATTACTATTACAAATGCGTAATTTCTACTCTACTCCAATTACTTTTGGCGTCGATACTCAGTAAGCTAACTTAACTACCTTTTTTGAGTAATTTGTGCATGTCTGCCTTTTTCCCACCCACTCTCGGGGTTTTGTCCAAAATGATTTTAGTTCGCGGCTATTCTGCCCGTTTTGAATCGCGCGCCACAAAGTTGGGATTCTGTGACGTTGAATCCCAATCGGCAGCTATACTTCTCATTGGCTAAGAGTTTGATTGACAGCTTAGATCTTGGTTGTTAAACCTTTGTTAAATGGTGCAGTTTCCTCTTGAGCGGCATATTTTTACGTTTAAAGAATAACCCATGTGATGAGAGTTATTATCCTTTACAAAAGTTTTACACGACGGTCACTTTCGTTTGGATTCATACCATAACAAACAAAAGCTTCGCCATTCTTTCACGGCCGCCAAAGTCTCCGCTACCGCCTGTCTCGCCTACCTCAACTAATCGTTTCGCCGAAGTGATCAGTGTTTCGTGGTGACCCAGGTTACTGGGACCGGACATTTCATCGAACGCCGTTTCGTCGAACGCCGTTTCATCGAAGCCGTTTCATCGAATGCCGTTTCATCGAACACCGTTTCATCGAACGCCGTTTTATCGAACGCCGTCTTATCGAACACCGTTTTATCGAACGCCGTTTTATCGAATGCCATTTGAAACAGCGTGCAGTGTTATCATAAAAGGAAGCCGAAGAGCTTTTTGAAATTTATAAAGAGGCCTAAGACACGGGAACAGAAAATTATACTTTGTGTTTTTGTGTCTAGGAGGATTATCTGTTTCAAATGCGAGATGCACTAAGTGATCCACTATAAGTTTTGAGGTTCCTTTGCCATCCATGTTCCTCTGGGTTTTTTAATGTTTTGTCCCCTTTGTAATGGTACTGGCGCAGACGAGGAGGGCGCTGCGTTTGACCCCTTTCTCCGTTCGTCCCTTTTGCGCTTCTCTTTATCTAATGTTATCTGAAGTCAATCATAGCCGGGAAGTCGGAAGACCTTGAAGACGGAAACGGTTGTGGGGTCGTCTTTAAGACTGCTTTTGTTTGCTTGGTATTCTTTATGAAGCCAATCCAACAGATTTCCTTATTTGTCGGTCTTTCTTTATTTATTTGGGGGGGGGGGATTCACTTGACGGGCAATACAATGAACTTGTCTCTAAGCATGAACAGGATCTTTGACTATCCACCTTTCATGGCTTAGGAATTGCGGCCTATATAACCCTACCGAAAAATCCGGTATAACTTTTAGCTATCCGGATTAGGGAACCGGAAATCTATCTGGATTCTATCCGGAATTTATCTGGAATTTAGGTTTTCCGAAATTATTCCTTTGTCTGCAATCTGGATTTCGGGTTTCCAGAAACAAATTTCCGGTTCCATAATCCGGATAGTGAAAAGTTATACCGGATTTTTCGGTAGGGAAGGTGATCATGATTACCATGGCGGGTAGTACGCAATGGAGATTCGGGAGACTACACGAGGAAAGCCAAAGCTCTGTTTCGGCGGATATGCTTACATCGTAGATAAACGTGTCAACGACAGCTTCTACTGGAAATGCGAACAGTACGGCGAATGCGGAGGTCGCGCCGTCACTATCGGTGATTCAAGCATAGGGAACCACGTTCTGAAGTCATTGGAGGGGCACAACCACCTTCCGGACAGTACAAGGTCAGATGTCCTGCAGGCAAGAAAGTGCTCCAAACTACAAGTGCACCGATTCAAATTGTTCAGGTATGTAATGCGTTCAATATCTTGCTGTTTAAAATAGCCTGTTATAAGATTATCACATATTTGCTTCCTTCTTAGCAAGTTTCCAGTGGCCTGAATGCTGAAGCGCGGCAAGTGCTGCCAAATGGAGATGTCCTCGAAATGTCATTAGTAGGAAACGATCGTCATTGTTTCCACCGGAGCCTACCAGCCTGTGCAGCCTTGTGGTTGAGGACCCCTTCGGAAAGATTGACGGGAAACGAGAGTTTCTGCAGTATGACGACACGTCTTTTCAGGGAACGCGAGTTCTGATCTTCGCCACGTCTGAGAGTCTGAGGCACCTTTCACAGGTAAATATATTATGAATGAACATATTGATAGGTCTTGCTCAGAGACTGAGATTTCTTGAATGACTACCCGTACGAATCTAAATCTTTTCAGGCGACTACCATTCTTTGCGACGGAACATTCAAGACCGTTCCGCGTCAATTCTACCAGCTTTACACGTTTCATGGGGTCAAGGAGTTTCAAGGACGGAACATCTCCTTTCCTTTCGCATACAGCTTGTTATCCTCAAAGACAGATGACGCCTACTTGCACCTGTTCAATGTAAGTATGAAAGTGACGTCCCACTATTGGGAGAGAAGCACATTCTGTTTTGTAGCATATTGGAAATTCTTTGATTTCTGTTCTGTTTATGTTTTCATTGCCGGCAGGTTTTGTTATAAGATTGCATTCATCTTTCTTCGCCCAGGCTCTCCCTCTCACCTGCTAACGCCACGGATTCGTACTGTCCCCGGGGTTCATAATCACAGACTTCGAAATCGCCGCGATCAACGCGTTGCGACAGGTTTTCCAGGCAAGCGTGCTGCACGGATCTTTTTTTTTCATTTATCTCAAAACGTGTACAGGCAAGTCTAGAAGACCGGACTGTAGGCTCAATATGCGAATGACGCCGCTTTCTCAAGCTTGGTGAGACAGCTGTGTGCCCTCTCCTTCTTACCCCCTCATCGGATACGTCAGGTATGTTTGTTTCTGCGCTGTGGCATACCTACCTACATGTTGCGTGGCACTCTCTTGGAAGAGAAAATGCCTTATTTGTTTTCATGCTTTTACGCAGGGTTATGCAGAAATCAAGCCCCACTTCTCACCCCAGGCAGTAAAAACTTCTCGAGTGGTTCGAGAAACACTAGGTGATGTGGAGGGCAAGAACGCTACAGAACGGGCTCGTAATTCGCGCTCCACCTCTCTTCCCTCCGAGCCTGTGGTCGGTGCAGCCCTTCATGGACCTCGGTCAGCCCAGAGGGAACAGCGTGGAAGGGTGGCATTCCCGCTTCCTGAAGCTGGTCGGAGGTGCCCATCCCGGGTTCCGGAAGTTTTTGACTTGCATCGCCGCAGAACATCAACTGACGGAAGACAAGCTGGAGGCGATGCTGAGTTCCCAAGAGCCTCCTCGACAGTAGAAGGCCATAGCGGCAAGAAATAATAAGGTCCGCCTTTTTTATGAGAACCGACGGAGCATGGCTGTCGGAGACTTTTTGAAAGCAATTACTCACCATCTGAAATGGTGAATGGTGGTCGAAGGAACACATGAACCCCCCGAAAGTTTTGAAATAAAATTTGTTGTGACGTACTTACTTTTGACTTCATTGAGTCTTAGAACTAAGAAAAAAACAAAAACGATGTTTCGTTGTACTTTCGTAAATAGCACCTCAGCTTTAGCTACTGAAAGCTTCGGGTAGTAAAAAAGTAAAAATAGAAAGACATGAGTGGCTAAAAGGCTCACATGGCTAACGTTGTTGCACCTGCGCAAAACCGAAGTCGCTTTCTGGCCTCCATGAGTTGGAGTGCGCTCTTACCGGGATTGCGACTTTTTATTTATTTGTTACAATACCCTCAGGGCCCATCGGGTAATACAGAGGGGGCGAACAGATGAGCAAAATATGCGAAACAAACGGCGTTCGATGAAATGTCCGGGAACCCCAGGTTACACCCAGGTGCTTGAGTGAGACTTCTTGAAGTGATGTAGTGGGTGTTGAGCAGCTGTCGCAGGTATTAGTGATAGGAAGCGATGCGGGGTTTTGGCTTTCCTAGCGCGGTTCTTTCGTTTTCCCCTTTGCATGCTTAGCGTGTTTTTTTTTTTGCGTTTTTGCTAGCAAATGCTAATTTTTCGGAGATGTCAGATGAGTGATCCCGACAGAGAGCCTTCCAGCGGCCATGTCGCCCCGAAAGGAAAGCTATTTGGCTGGAGTCAATCGAGCGTTCGCGTAGCGACAAACGTGTCCACTTACGTTCTTGTCATATCGCTCCGGAGGCCGTCGAGGTTCGCACCGGGTGCCCCAGGTGCATTGAACGTCCGCGACCTGACACAGCTGTTAAGTAAAAAACCTGGCACAGCCAGGTGATCACGTAATAGCTGTCCGCAGAAGCCCTTGGACGTTCGAATTCTGCGTTAGCCGACAAATTTTGTTTCTCGGCTTTCGAGCCATCTTACGTAAATTGTTTGAATGAATATGTACTGTTATCGTAAATCTTGGCTTGTGATCGCGCCTTTGTAGAGTGTCGTATTCATTTTGCTGGAGAGACGCAAACGACGGGCATAACAAATCGGTTGCATATTACGCATACCTTGCAAAAGCACCTCCCCAGTCACCTTGCGTAAAGCGCGAAACACGGAGTCCGCGCCGTCCCGACTTCCCAGTCTTTTACCTGCTTTAGAGCAGTTTGTACCTGCTAGTAGGTATGTCTACTGAAACTTGAAACTAGGGGCGGTGCCAGAGAGCAAAGAGACAAAGTTCGGAAAGCTTGCTCGCCCTTCCCAATTTCTGAACCTTCAAGTGATTGTACCGTAATAAATGCACAACGCCTCTTCCCAAAATAAAAAAGCGCTATGTTCA